CGGAAAGAGAATAAGAAAGAAACAAATAAGAGAAAGGAAATTCTTCTGAATCTGTTGTCTTGCTTAATACTTTCTTCCTGTCATTGATATGTCATGTATTTGTTTGTTTAGCATGTCAGCTCTTAATCTATTGATACTTCAGTATTTTTTTGTTGCATTTTCAAGTTTAGAAACAGTTGCCTAGTACCTTGTTTACTAGGTCAAGGTACCATTTTTGTTTCACTTACAACGATTGTTAACTTAAAACCAACGATGGTCTTGCTTTAAACATCTTACTCTATCTAGATGGGACTGAGAGAGAACTACCCGTCGTCTCGAAAGTTTTGGCTTCAATTAACTCCGTTTTCGGTTTTGGGGAAAAATTATCTGATTTTCATCATAAGGAAAATCTCTAAAATAAACAAACCAAAATTCTATATAAAAAATTTAGTTTTCTCTGATTTTCTGCCTACCTCACGCCGAGTTCATTTCTTCGCGTCACTAATTTATTCTACTATTTTTCTTTGATGACTGGCTGTTTCGTTGTTTCAGATTAATCTAGCGATTCTGATCAGAAAGATAATCGACAAAAGAAATTACAACAATAAAAAAACCTTTATTGGAAAATCCATATTTGAATTCATCCCCAACAAAACTAGATAATGATCTGTTTTTAAATACAATGAATAATGATGATAATAACAATTATTCTAAACACATGACAAAGAAGAACACTAATCATAACAACAATGTGATACGAATCTGTTACAGGTTTATTTCATCCGCATGGAAATCAAACCTTTTCTTTGTCTTTGGCAGTTTTCTTTCTCATTTTCCGTTGAGATTTATTGTTCTGTTTTTGTTTGTTTCTTGTTGACTTTCAATAGCTTTTATTTCAAAATCAGAGGGGTTTTTGTGATTTGAACAGATATAAAAACAGACAACTCGATTATTTTTATTTATTTTTTCTTTATTTGTTTTACGACAGAAGGACTAAACGTAATTTTTTTTCTTATTTTTTTCGTCTACCCCTATGGATATACTGTTTTTGTCTACTCATTCGCTTTTTGGCTGCGATGTTTTTAAATATGTGTAACAAAATCATGAAGAAGATGATTTAATATTACAATACTTTCCAAAATTCTTCCAATTATTTGAGAATTACTCATCCGAATATGATGATTTCAAGACAATTATTAACTCGTCCAAATATATTACTGGATTATATATGAAAGAAGATAATGATAATTTTTTATTAATACATTTTAAAAGAATGCTATTATGAATGAAGCAAAATTTAAATGAAAAAGACGAATTTGAGATTTGTGTATCAGTATTAGTTCATGTTATTTCGACAGAAGACAATATAATTTCTCTCTTCAATATCACTTACAAGCATTATCAATATAAATTAAAAGATAAAAGGTTTGATTTCCATGTGGATGAAATAAACCTGTAATATATTCATATTGTTCTTGAACAGACGGATTAGTACAGCAGAAGTTCAATCATCTACCATCTCCTCATTTTCCCAAATGTCCAGAAAAATTTCATGCAGTCACCTAAGTAAAACTCCACCAGCTTTTGAAATCATCGTTACTTGGTGCCTTTCTGTTTTTCATTTGCTTCAACGTTAACTGTAATTCTTGTAAAAACGGAAGTTTTTCTTGTCGATGCTTTTCCTCAGTTGATACCACCAGAACCGATATTTGATCAATAATTTGTGAATCTACAGACGCATTTACATTCAATAATTCCGAAAAATATTCTCGCCATTGAACCAAACGGTCAGTAGAACCCACGGGCAGTTTACGGTTTTTATCATTAATTGGCGGGTACTCTACACTTTGTTTTCCGCCTCTTAACCTTCTGATCATTGCATAAGCTGTGGCTGGATCATGCTGATCGGTTGCAGCTTATATCTCTTCACTCATTCCAGTATTGAATTTGACGTTCCTCAACCAATTTCTTTACAAACTTTCTCAGCGTCACATATTTCTTTCTATATTTGTTTTCTTCTATAGTCTCACGATGATTTTGCCA